AGACATGCTGCTCTCTCAGGTCAGCCATCGCAAAACTGCAAACCCACAGAAACACAACAATGGAAATACTTTCACCAACAATAAACCCAACCACTCAACTTGACACCGCTTGCCACACTGAATCAAGAAGGATGTGTGATGAGACACCTAGCGGTATTTCGATGTACTCATAACCATTCATGCGCAAAATTCAAATTTCGGTAACTTTTGGATTGCCCCACGTATTTTGTACTGCTGAGGTTTGCATTAAAGGTGAGGAAGCTTTAAGAGGTTTCCTAGGCAGTACTTTCATTTGAAGGCAGAAAAAGATAGTGAAATTAGATTTTGTTATTTGCTGCATAAAGATCCACGGAATTTATTAGGTGTGTGACTTCTCAGTTTGAGATGAGAATTTGGGAAAGTGTTCACAGCCCTCTCATTCAAGACTATGTAATATGAGAATGAACATTGTCATAAATTAATCCACAAAAAATCAATTTAACTGCAGTCGCATATTATAACATTAACTGTTTTTTCATGATTTGGTGTAGTTTGCATGCTACCAAGCAAGCCCAAAGTAGTTATCTAAGAGTTCTTGAAGTTTTATACTAAAAAAATCAATATTTTTTTCTCAATTTTTTATATTTCTTAAAAAGTGATGGAACATGATTTTGTTTAGTCAAGTGGACACTGTTTAAAATTGACTGTCAAGGATGCCGTCTGTAGTGATAGTCATTTTTTGTTTCAGCCTGAACACTCCTCCAGGCACAAAGTTGTACCTGAAGAATGAATCTCTTCCAATGGCCCATGGTATTGTTCTCCTGAAGTCATCTTGCATTGAAGTGCTTGGAGGAAGGGTCACACCACTGGTGGAAAAGTGGGAATTGAATCGGGTATGGTGAAAACAAATTCTTATGTGTTGTATTTTCTTTATTATAAAACATATTTCTGTAAAAACGTAGTCATAGTAATGTTGGTCTTTTTATATTTGGCTGGCAGTAGTATTTTGAAGATGGATGTAATTTTTATGCAATCAGATAATCCAGAATCCTGTGATGAATATCATACACAGTTATTAAAATTAATGATTCTGTATATCAGCATCCTGTTGCTGATAACCCAACATCCATGTACTTATCGTCCATCAGTTTCCTGGTTCTAGTAATACATCTAAATGACAAAAATTTTGAATTCGCAGTATATCGAAAACCTACACAAACTGACATTATAATACCAAATAGTTCATGCCACCCACACGAACACAAACTATCCGGCATTAACTCTTTGCTAAATTTGTTGTATACATATCCAATAACAAGAAAGGCGAAAGACACAGAAATGAACACCATTCAAAATATACAATGTAATAATGAGTACGACATAAATTTAACCAGCAACATACCCCCCCCCCCCCCCCAAAAAAAANCTAAAACAAAATAAACATGCAGACTCACAGCAACAAAAGACAAAGTTGGTTGCCTTTACGTACAGCGGTAAGGTAGTAAGAACAATCACAAAACCTTTTCGAGATACAAGATAGAAGTGGAATTTATCAAATGAAATGTCTAGATTGCCCATTGAAATATGTCGGACAAACAGGAAGAACATTCGAGACCAGATATAAAGAACATGTTCACAACATAAAAAGTAACAATAGTAACTCAGGATATTCAAGTCACATATTGAACACCAGACACACATATGGCACAATAGCAGACACCATGGAAATCATAACAACGGGGAGAGAAGGAAAATATTTAAATACACTTGAGAAATACCATATTTACAAAACTAGTAAAAAAGATTTACCTATGAATGACACAAACATCGACACACACAACCCTATATTTGAAATACTATACAAAATTACACAACGTAACACTGTACCCTCTCCCTTCTCTCCCCACTCCTTACAACCAGAGCATATAAATACAGGAACAATTACACCGCATCCGCACTAGTAAAGACAACACCACACGCTGTGGAGGAAACGCGCAAACCAGAGGCATGCGAGTACAAAGTAAACAAATAACATAATAACAATACCAAACAATAAGAAAACAACATTAATCTAGGGATCTTATAAATTACCGATGACAGTCATAACTGAAAGTAGGCTACGAACATGAGGGGCAAGCTGCCGAAACAAAACACCCTGGACAGACATACATTTATGAATAGTGGACGACACCCCGTGTGAGGTGAAATAAAATGAACCAAAATAACATGGGTATAATAGGAACTTTAATAGATTTTATCTGGTTTTACTTTGAAAAGAAAACGACAGCATGTGATTTTAACACGGACTAACACAGTGTAGCAGTTTTAACATAATTTAATAAAATATTTGTGACAAATAGAGACACCTGAAGATGGCCATTTGGGGCTGAAACATGTAGTGTCAAAGTGTATAATGTTAAACTAAAATTAAACAAGTGTTGCAATATTGGCGGACGATAAGTACATGAAATTTAAAATTAATGCTTTGGTTGAAAATAAAGAATTATATTGTTTCATATACACCCGTTGCTAGGCAATGGATTTGTAAACAGATTCCTTCCAAGACAGATTCTTGGCAAACAGTCTGTTGCCAGGTTACGCAGCAATATAGGCATGTCTGTAAAGATTCTCACGGCAACGAATACAGGCAGCAATAGAAGAACTGCCATTTCTATGCGATGGCCAGTAAACACCCCCCCCACCACCACCACCACCACCACCACACCACTTAAGCACATGACAACAACATAAGGGAAACTGTGTTTTCTATGCGGTTCATGCCAAGCAAACACACAGAACAATAGGACATCTGTTGCCAGGCAGTGAAGCTATAAACGTGCATCCTTAACAAAAGAACACTGTGTTTTCTGTGGGGTTCATGTAGAGGAGTTATCGTGAAGACAGTCAGCTGTCTGAGTCGGTTAGTTCTCGGTAGGAGATAGCCATGGGAAGTTCGTAGTTGAAGAAGAATTAGCAGTCGGCCTGTGACTTAACATGTGATTAGAAGACTTTATTTATGTGTAGTATTTGGAGTGTAATTCAGCGAGACTGTTATAGTTTTTGTGTTGAGATCCATTGCTAGGAGACGACTAGCAAAAACTGAGAATCCTAGTGCATGTGCAACGGTGAACTATAAATTGTGTAAATGAGTGATAGCACTGTAATAAGTGTGATTAAGAGAACTTGAAACTGAAGTGTGATTAAATCCAATCATCTGATTTAGAACCCATTATTTTCGTCATGCGTACCAATATTCAGTTTTCTCCAGTTCAGAAGACACTGTTTAAAATTCATGTTTCATCTTACAGCATCTTAACTTGTCCATTGGCCTTTGCTTTTATGAGATTTCAAGCACAGGTAAAATTATAAATAACATACTTCATCACACAGAATGTTCATTCAGCGTTTCGTGATTATTCTTGGGGGGAGATTAGTCTTTGAAATAAATGGCTATAAATTATTTGATTTCTTGCTTATCAGTCACTTTGTAAGTTGATAGCACACCCATTGTAATGTATGACATTATAGATGATGACTATTACCCATTTTTAAGATAGATAAAAGGATAAAAGCATTATGAGAGGAAAACTTCAGTCAGCTGTAATAATGAATAAGACTGCCAGTGCTGGCACTTCAGTATTTTTGTTTTAATCTGTTACCTTTAACTTTCACTCATTGTGAGTATGAGGGTGGAAGGTGATGTATTATGGATGGTGAAGATGAGAAATGTAACAAAATTTTAGTTGGAAAACCTAAAGAGAAGAGGCCACTTGGAAGACCTGAGAATAAATGACGGGGTGGACTTAGAGGAATGGGGTATATTGTGGATGTGAGTGAGGATTGGTCCAGGGATAGACTCGTGTCAACACAGTAATTACCTTCAGGCTTCATAAAAGTTAGGAAAATGTTGCCAGATATCTCAAGAAGGAATTAATTTTTCCGTTGTTACTTTTTCTTCTACTGCTAGTGGGGTGGGACTAAGTCCCTTGTACTGTGGCTACTTCTGGCCTATTGTACCAGCCCCAGTTGATAGGTGAGAGTGATTGTGGAGCAATTGGTGGAATGAAGATTGGCAGGTGAAACCGAAGTACTCGGAGAAAACCTGCCCCAGTGCCACAACATGATTTATTTTGTAAGTACTGAATGTGCAGTATGGAAACTAAAACTACAGGATATGCAGTCAGAAATTTATTAGCAGTTTTTTTTAAAGCCGTTTTCTAGGATGTGGCGTCGTGTAGAAATTGTGTTAACTGATGTTTTGGAGGAACGTATCGCCTCTATCTTCAGGGTAGAAGGCAAGAAGAAATCCGCGAGCGAACCAGCTAGAGCGGTTGCAACAGGCCGAGTCCAGTCAAGTAAACACAGCTGTATAAGACAAGGAGAGGAGTGTGGCTACATAGGGAAATAGTAGAGAGGGGGAGGGGAAGGGTCTAGTGGAATAGCCAGCAGGTAGTTGGCCAGAGCTGGTATAGAGTATGTGTTAGGGGGAGAGAAGGGAAGGTTAAATGGAGGGCATTAACCCTGTAGCTGGGGGGCTGCGATGGACCTGAGTGGCCTATAGGGTCTGTTGTATTTTGGAGGTTACTTGAGGGAACAGATGAGAGGCTTCCATGACTTGCCGAGACAAAACCCCACCTCTCTGTTCATATTGTTGGGATGGAGTTCAATCTCAATGGCCTCCCTAATGATGTGATCCATATAACAGGTCTTGGTAGCGAGGATGGAGGTATTCTGAAGCTGAATGCGGTGTCCCAAATCGATGCTGTGTTCAGCCACAGGTGACTTGTCTGGATGTTCGAGACGGATGTGCCACTAATGCTCCTTCAACCTCGTGTCCACAGAACGACCTGTCTGCCCAATATAGACCTTGCCACAATCTCATGGGATACTGTCCCAGGCTGTCTTTGACTGGCCAGAGGAAACTAGATAATTTCTTTGGAGGCAGGTCCACTGATTTGATGTTGTGCCGGGACAGCACTCTGCTAATACGGTTGAGGCCGGTTTATCTTCGGGCCGACTGATGTTTGGCCGATGGTTGAGAACTCTGTGGATCTGCCAGTTGTTGTATCCGTTCTGCCTGAAAACATCCCCCAGGAGTACCAACTCCGCATGTAGGTTGTCTTGATTGCATAGAGCTCTAGCCGTGTGCACCAATGCGGAAAGTACAGCTTGCTTGTTGGAAAGGTGGTGGTGGGATGCAGCGTTAAGGTAGAGGTTTATATGGGTGGATTTGCGATACACTTTATGGCCCAGAGAACCATTGGTTCTCCTGTAAATATATATATATATCCAGGAAGGGGAAGTGGCCTTCAATTTCATTCTCCATTGTGAACTGAATGCACTGGTGGATACTATTTAGTGGTTCAGGAAGTCCTTAAGCTTGTTGGGCTGGTGTGACCAGATGACAAAGGTGTCATCCACATAGTGAAACCAGCAGCGAGGCTTGTGTGGGGCCAAGTCAAGTGCCCTCTCCTCGAAGTCCTCCATATATAAGTTTGCGATGACCGGAGACAGTGGCGAGCCCGCCACACCATCGGTTTGTTCATAGAACTGGCCATTGAAGATGCAGTATGAGGTGGTCAGAACATGGTGGAAGTCTCAAGATATCTTCTTCAAAATGTCGTCCTAGCAGATCCATAGTATCCTCTATAGGCACCCTGATGAAGAGCGACACGACATCGAAACTGACCATTATGTCATGGAGATTGATGTGGAGAGAACCCAGAGTGTGGACAGTTGCCAGTGTTGTTGCTCAGTAGGCCAGCCAAGTGTTTAGCCAAGCGATAGGTGTGAGAGCCAGTAGTGCTCACAGTGGGCCTTAATGGAATGTCAGACTTGTGGATCTTCGGCAACCCATAGAGTCTAGGTGGCCTGGAACCTTGAGGTCGTAGCTGTTGGTAGACCTCCTCAGCAGTTGGGGACTTTTTCAGGAGAAGAACAGTCTTGCGCTCTGTGGAATCAGTAGGATCCTTCTTCAACTTTTTGTAGGCCTTATCCTCCAAGAGAGCGGTAATCTTCCAGTTGTAGTCCGACGTGTCCAGTACCATGGTCACATTACCCTTGTCAGCCGGAAAGATGGTGAGCGCCTCATTGGCTTTTAAGGACCAAAGGGCTCTCCTCTCGGCACCAGTCAGGTTGTCCTTGGGTTTGCAGGAGTTTTTGAGGATCCTGCCCATCTCCTGTCAGATCTCCTCCATAGTCTCTTCAAGCAGGGCCACTATTGCCTTCTCCACCCCTCACAGGATATTCTTGACGGGGACAGACACCGGAGCCACAGCAAAGTTGAGGCCTTTGCTTAGGGCTGAGCAAGCTGCTTCTTCCAATGACACCACTCAGATTGACCACAGTCTTCTTGCTGTCAGGGGGGCCAGGTGGGTGCTGGACCTCATGCAAATGTTGAAACTTCCTGCAGTGCCTGGCTCTTATGCCATCAGCGATGCGTAAAACCGTCTCACTTGTGATGCGGTCAATCAGGTCCCAGTCATCAGTGGACAAGTCCTGGGTCAAGCGCAGATGTAACTTAAACAGTTCCCTGGAAACAAAGTCCAGCTCCTTTCTGGTGTGATGGATGCGTTCAAGGAGCAAACAGGAGCTAGTGCATCTATAGATCCTGTTGGCAGCATCAGAGTTTATATGGTGCTTGAACTGAATGAAACGAAGGATGGTGTTGTGGTCTCTGCATATAAGAAGGAAGGGAAGGGTACAGAGTAGCTTGGTCTTCTTGGTTCATAGCATCTCGAGTCGTCGAATGTGTCATTGAGTAGCCTTGCCATAGAGGAACACTATGTAAGATTTGAGGTTTTCACGGCAGTGACTATGAAAAGAGCCTCTTGTGGGATGTGGCGCCGTGTATAAATTGTGTTAACCCACGTTTTGGAGGAATGTATCACTTCTATCTTCAGGGTAGAAGCCGAAGAAATCCGTGACTGAACCAGCTAGAGCGGATGCAACAGACTAAGGACCCTGGGTGTATGCAGTATCCCATGCGAGTGCGGCAAGGTCTCTATTGGGCAGACAGGCTGTTCTGTGGACACGAGGTTGAAGGAGCATCAATGGCACATCGTCTCGAACCTCCAGACAAGACAGCTGTGACTGAACACAGCATTGATTTCGGACACCGCATTCATCTTCAGAATACCTCCATCCTCGCTACCAAGACCTGTTATATGGATCGCATCATTAGGGAGTCCATTGAGATTGAACTCCATCCTGACAGTATGAACAGAGAGGTGGGGTTTTGTCTCAGCAAGTCATGGAAGCCTCTCATCTGTTCCCTCAAGTAACCTCCAAAATACAGTAGACCCTATAGGCCACTCAGGTCCATCGCAGCCCCCCAGCTACAGGGTTAATGCCCTCCATTTAACCTTCCCTTCTCTCCCCCTAACACATACTCTATACCAGCTCTGGCCAACTACCTGCTGGCTATTCCACTAGACCCTTCCCCACCCCATCTCTACTACTCCACACAAGCTCTGGCCCACTACCTGCTGGCTATTCCACCAGACCCCTCCCCTCCCCCTCTCTACTGTTTCCCCATGTAGCGACACTCCTCCTCTCCTTGTCTTATACAGCTGTGTTTACTTGACTGGACCCAGTCTGGTGCAACCACTCTAGCTTGTTCACTCACAGATTTCTTCTAGCCTTCTACCCTGAAGATAGAGGCAATATGTTCCTCCAAAACGTCAGTTAACACAATTTCTACATGGCACCACATCCCAGAAGATGGCTTTTTTCATAGTCACCGCCGTAAAACGTTTTTTTTTTGTTTGCATTCATGAGGAACTTGTATATATTCCAAGTGTGCTGGCTATTTTTGGTTTATATCTCTCCGAGAAACTTCATAATGATTCTGCAGAATGAGATTTAGGCTATCACAGAGGCAGGCCTTGCATGTAGCATTATGTTCTTGAGTGATAACTGGTGGCTAATTTTCTAACCATTCAGATGAAAAAATAGCAATATGGTGAATATATGAATCTGTTTCCTTCTCCTCAACTCTGGTAAGCATAGTATATCAACTGTTAGGACTACAAGTATAATAATTTAATTACGTGAAATTACCCTCTGGCCCATTAAGTGAGAGTGGAGTAATGTTCATTACATTACATTATTTATTATACTGCAATTGGGTTTTAGCCCGGTGGCAGTAGTACACAATAGGACACAACAGACAAGTAACACACATTACACTAAGTGACAATACGTTCAAACAAAACACAATACACAAAACACAACAATAAGGACATCCTACCAGAGTGAGTTCCAGCTGACTGCCAAAGATGTATAAGGCAGAATGTGCTCACAGATTCCTATGGTATGGGCCTTACTACTGGCAGTATTTGATCTGTGCTTAGGAAGTGGCATTCATTAATTGAAGCTAATGTGGATGTAACTTGCCCAAGCGGTCTGGATTGGTTTTGCCAATGAAGACCAAATGTCACCAAAAGACTTGCTATGCCCAGCGCAGACTAGAATAGCTGGGATAACTCAGTTGATGTAGCAGCTAGGCTGTAGGATGTATCAGAGGAGTTGGGGATCATTTCCCAGCAAGGGCAAGAGATATTTCTCTTTGACACCATGCAGACCAGCTCTAGATTGAGCCTCCCATCCAGTGAGTACTGGAGGCTCTTTGTTCGAAGATAGGTGGCCAAGGTGTGAAGCTAACCACTCACCTCTCTTTAGTATGCGTGGAATGTGGGTGTTTATGTGTGTGTGTGTGGGGAGGGGGTAGGTTGTTATTTTGTAATGCTGTCGGTAGTGGGACTTTATAGCATTGAATAGTAGTACCATAGAAAAATTATGAATTTGTCATGGCCTAAACTGAGATATAGTGCAATCAGATTTTATGCAAATTTGAAATAATGTGATGTAGAAAATATTAATGACATCTCACTTTATGTACAATGTTTGAGATAATGTGAATCCCAAAAAATTCTGTAAGAATTACATGTGTTTCAGAACTTGTCTTGAATTATGCAAGGTCTTCAGGAGTGCATCCCTTATGTAAAATGTGACTGCACTGTACTATCTTGTCACTTGCCACAAGGGACTAAGGGAAAGTACATAAAATCTCAATCAAGATAGCTGGTGTACCAGCCAGTATTCGAACGAAGCATCCCCCGAATATGTTGTAGAAAGTCAGCAGTATGCATGGAGGTGTACCTCCACTCCTCCATATGTTTCCGTGGTATGGTACATAGTTAACGACAAGGGCAATTTTACCTTTACCTTAAGCCCAGCATGTATAGGCACTAGCAGTTCGCAAGGAGATGGTGAAAATTGTGTGTGATTTAATATCTGTTGACTGGAAGGTCATAATCTGCTTTGTACTCCATTGTTAACGGTACTGAGAAGGTATACCAGTGCAGCTATCTCCTTGATGATCTTTACATCCATAAGGTTAAGATGCTTAAGTGACTGCAGTTTGAAATATCAGAATTTCTAGAGCTGCATGGTTACAGACCATGTGAAAGTGATGAGCCTGGGACACAGGTATACCATCCTTAACTATCTGAACCCCCAGTGCTGGAGTCAGTCAGAAGAGAAATCTAAACTGTATAAGAACTTCTGCTGGAAAATAAAACTCGAATAAGATCAGAATCTCCAGCACCTCTGTTTACCTCCAAGTCCACCATTTTAGCAGTATACTGTCAGTTTCCTATATTTCCCAATAAAGAAGTGAATAGCAGACAGTCTACATGTATCACAGCAATCACAGAAAGTAATTTTCATTTCATGCATCCTGTTGTGTTACAATATACAATATCACAGAAAGTAGCTAGTGATGGAAGAAAAGAATACTTTCTAAAAGTGATTTTGGAAAGAAAAGTTGTCACAAACTCTTCCTCTTTGATAGTTTTTATACAGTGCATGTAAATAACCAAGTTCATTCATAAGAGTGAATGTATTACAGAACAGTCTTAAGAATCTGTTGAATCTGGTAACAGATGTGTACCTTCAAGAAATAGAGGTATGATAGTGTGTACCAGTGGTACTTAACCGTGGCTTTACCATGTGACACTTGGCCAAAAATATAATATGCCTCTTACGCTTACTACAAAGGACACCAAATATTTAAAATAAAACTTAAATGTTGTTATGTCTTGAAACATTCATGTGCCATGCCTGATACATGTGTCTCATGTTGATTAACACGTTTTTATATTATTATGGTCAATGGTAATCATATTTTAAATTTTATTCTAGACCCTGGCAAAGCATACACGTGGCCGAATAGGTGAGGAAGGGGGGCCTCCTCCCTGGATACCATTTGGACAAAAAATCTTGAGATCAAATCCACAAGATCGCAATTTTAAGGTATTGTGAAATAATATACAGTGTTGTATGAAAGTAAATTACAAGTTATCTGCAGTTTCTTTATGCAGCATTGTTTGTAAATTGACCATTACATACGTTGTTATATCTTAACAAATTTAGCATACCTAAAATTAACATGTTATGTAAGTACCAAGTTCTTCCAAAAAGGAACATACTACTACTACTACTACTACTACTACTGCTGCTACTGCTGCTGTCACCGCTGCTATGGCATTACTAGAGAATTACATACGTACTGGAAAAGCATTCGTGATTTGAAGTGTTTGGAAATGTATATTTTGGCTGATTGGTAATTGTTTCCAGATGTACCACTTCATGTATTTTATGGCCCCCTGAGTAATGTAGAGTTTTATTCTCACTATAATTCATTTAGTAAGAACTGTGCAATGGAAAATTTATCAGTATTGGTGAATGCTCGCAATTATGTTGTAGTCTTTGGATAGCAACAGAGATAAGGAGAACAAGGAAAATGCTGAGTTTGAGGCCCAGAGGAAGGATGCTATAGCAGAGGCTGCAAGAGGTGGTGCCAAGAAAATATTTGGGGGTGGAAATAAACCAGTAAGTATGTTGTATAATAACAAATGCACCATTGTCACAAGCAGTGGCTTGGTGAACACATTCCCATGGCAATGAAAACACATGCAACAATGGAAGAATTATTGGACACATTGTTTTATGTGTGGTCTTTGCTCTATCAAAGGAAAGCAGGTGATTAATTCTTCACAGAACCTCTTGTTTAATAAAAGAAAGAGTTGTAGAGGACATGGTGTGTTATGCCCCAAAATTCGAGATAGTAGACGAAGCCACGGCCCAAAAATGTTCGCGCCTAGCGAACAGTGTTGCACAGTTATTGCCGCAACTTGTAAACATCAGTAATGGCAAGTAGGTCAGGAATCTGCTTGCCCAGCAAGGCTGTGTCCTCACAGCGCCAGAAGTTTGCCTAACTCGGGCACTGGAGGATCGGAATAGATTGCTTACGCAGCGATCAGACGCCCGGGGGGTCTGCCCACATCCCGATAAGACCCAATGAAAGCCTAACTTTAAGAAATTAGAACACAAGGGAGGAGCTATCTACCCCCTTGTCGTCCACGCTGAATCAGCGAATTAAGACTATAAATGAGGGAAAGTCAAGAGACTTGGAATTCTGATTTTAAACAGAATATTCAGTTGTCAGCCGGAGGCGCTGCTCAATATGGGTTTAACAAGCGCCGGAAGGGCCTACAGTCTTCTATGTCAAGTAAGTTTGTTTACGCATATTAGCCATGCCGAGTGATAATAACGTTGTTCCATAGTATTGGTGATACAGTGTGTTGAGATATTGCATGTGCAATTTCAAGTGTACCCAGTGAGCCCCGAGGGTAGGATAATAGATTCATGTAAAGGCCTAGGACATTAGGCAGGCCATCTGTGAATTATAATATATATATATCAAGGTTAGGGTTAGTGTGTTATAGTAAAGATAGTATATGGGAATTGAGATATCAACAAGGGTAGTTTATGTAGAAGAGACCGTACGATAGATAGGTAATCATATATCCTGTGTAATCAGAAAGGTACAGGGAAATTATGTATTCTCGAGGGGGACTTGCATGTCCTCGTTAGCAAGTCAGAGAGAGAGAGAGAGAGAGAGAGAGAGCGAGGCTCGAAGCCTCCACCCCCGAAGGGGGAGAACTTGAAGAAACAGAACATGTAGTCCAGACAGACGGACAGTCTTTGTTGATAGTGTAAATAATGTAAATCTGTAAATTATGTAAATACCCAAGGTATATATTAATGTAAATAGATAGATAGGATAGGATGTACCGGGGGTGTGATTCGTATCTATACTCAACCTCCCCCATCCGATCCAGAGTAATCCTGACGAGCGAGGGCAGAACTGACACAGGCAGCAGTGGCAGCCGAAGACGAAGATAAGAATAGACAGGGATAGGCTCCTGCCACACAGGCAGAGTAAGGGAGCCTTGATAGTAACGCCCTCCCAAGATCCGAAGATAAAGTGTAATATTAAGGGATTACGTGGCTACCTGTAAACCATATGCGGAGTGGTCAAGGAAGAGCTAAGACTATATGTCAGGGAGTAGTACCAACAATTGAAAGAACAGAGAATAGATGGTGGCAGCTTGTATGACAGAAGAAACTCCGATATAGGAGAATCCTAGCTAAGGGTGAGCTAGGATGATTGCGTTCACGCCTTACAGCATAAGCGGAGGAGGCCAGGAGGGGTACCTGCCCACCCCCGACGGCGCGACGTTACCAGGAGTACCAGTTTACGACATAACTAGTGGAGGCGAGGAAGGATACCTCCACGGCCCCTACATGCGGAGTTACAGTGGTGACAGAGGCGGGCTGACTCCACGCCCCCCTGTACCACGGCATTACAGCGGCGGCCGCAGCGGGAGGGATACCTCCATGTCCCCCCTGCGCCGCTAGGGCATTACATGGTGCACAACCTGACTTAACAAGATGTTATTTCTGAGTGATGCAATTGTACCAGCCCCAGATGATAGATGAGGGTGATTGTGGAGCAATTGGTGGAATGAAGATTGGCAGGGGAAACCGAAGTACGTGGAGAAAACCTGCGCCAGCGCCACTTTGTCCACCACAAATTCCACTTGATCAGACCTGGGATCGAACCCGGGCCGCCACAGTGGGAAGCCAGTGACTAACCGCTTGAGCTATGGTTCGGCCCCTGTCAGCGAAGTTAGTCAACTTTAGTGGATAGAGTGTGTCGCGTGATTGGCGCAAAAAATCCCCATTGCTGTTAATTTTGGTTTTATAGGTAGGGCTGGGAATCGCACCTGGGACCTGTGGATCTGTAGCCAGGAACTCTGACCACTAGACCACATAGGCAGTCATAAAGAAAAACACAAACTTTAATTAACGTAAGTGAGGAGGTTGATCTAGAAGTAAACACAGAAAACTAAGTATATGTTACTGTCTTGTCACTAAAATGCAGGGCAAAATCTTGTCACAAAGATAGGAAACTGATGTTTTGAAAATGTGGCACTGTTTCGATATTTGGGAATGACCATAACAAATAAAAACCTGATTGAGGTGGAAATTAAGAGGAGATTGAACTCAGGTAATGCTTGCTACCATTCAGTCCAGAACCTTTTGTCTTTTTGTCTGCTGTCCAAAAACATAAAAATTAAAATATACAAAGCTATAATTTTGCCTGTGGTTTTGTGTGGGTGTGAAACTTGTTCTCTGACATTAAGGGAGGAACATATATTGAGGGTGTTTTTGAGACCAGGGAGCTGAGGAGAATATTTGGACCAAAACGGAATGAGGTGACAGGAGGTTGGACAAAACTGCATAATGAAGAGCTTCATAACTTGCATCCTTTGCCAAGTATAATTAGAATGATCAAGTGAAGGAGGATGAGATGGGCAGGGCATACAGCATGAATGGAACGGAAAAAGAATCATAGGATTTTGGTGGGAAAACCAGGAGGAAAGAGACCACTGGGAAGACAAAGGCATAGGTGGGTGAACAATATTAAAATGGATCTTAGAGAGATAGGATGGGATCGTATGGATTGGATTGTTGTGGCTCAGCATAGAGACCAGTGGAGGGCTCTTGTGAACACAGTGAACCTTTGGGTTCCATAAAATGCTGGGAAATTCTTGAGTAGCTGTGGAATTGGCTGCTCCTCAAGAAGGGCTCAGCTCCATGAGTAAGTAAGTAAGTACATATCTAATTTTAAATAAATACAGGAGTGTTATTTATGAAGTAACAGGTGCCAGATTGCCTTCTTCTAGACTTAAGAGCTCTGTAACTGACTTTGGATATTCTTTTTTGCTGTTCTCAGACAGAATGTCCATCATTGTTACCCTTTGGTCCTCATACAGTTTACAGTCCCTGAAGACATGTTCCTCCATTTGCAGCCCATCATCACATTCACATTCGGCCGTGGACACAATGTTAAATCTGGTTTAGGCTTGCTTTAGTAATGGCGTGCACTGCTATCATACAGTGTATTGACACAAAGGCATGACGGTTCATTTTTAACTTATGGAACCATTTAGAATCTTGTACTTCAGAGCTGTTATTCCAGTTTATAAGTGCCTAACATTCTTATCTCCTGTTCATGTATTGGTATTTTTTTTCTTATAGCTTTTAGATCACAATGTACAGAAGATAGTAGATTATGGTTTCACAGTGGAACAAGCAGAATACTCACTCCGACAGAACAGAAATAATGTTGAACGAGCACTTCGAGCACTTCAGGTGAGTTTGTAGTATATGTGCTGTTGTGCCCATTGACAATGTTAGTTCATGGTGTGTATGTGGCACAGTAAGTAGAGTATTAAGAAGTCAAACTAGGAACGACACAAAGCTTAAATTTTATAACATGATGGCAGTCTGTAGCTGCACTGTGACTGTGAGAATTGGATGATGCCTAGAGCAGAAAGAAAAGAATAGAGACAGTGGAAATGAAACTTTTGAGATATGTTTGTGGAGATACGTTCAAGGTCCAAGTGAGCTGTATAAATATAGGACAACTTTTAAGCATCTGTAATTTTTATAAGTGGAATTGTCAGCATAATTTGGTGTGTTACATTTTTTTGTTATTTGCAGAAACAAGATGGTGTACGGCGTGAAGATGGTCAGAGAGACAGAGAGCGACGGGCAGACGCAAAGACAAAGGGAGGAGAGGAACGAGAGAGAAGGAAGCGGGGAGAGAGGGAAGATGAAACAGGAGCACCACCTAAACCTTCTGGCAATGTATCTTTATTTGATTTTGTGCAGGATAAACTTCCTCTTCAGAATGGTATGTTGTATTATTGGAACATTAATTTTGTCTTCTAACTTTGCTGCAAATAGTCGCAGCACACCTCCAGGTCAGGCCATATAGTTCAGAGCCTCCCAACCATTATTAGCTTACAATGAAATGAGATGATGAAGAGCAATCATTCTCTGCAAGTATTAGCATGATCTTCATGGTGATTTATGTGCAGATGAGGAAAAGGAGAAGCTATCCGTGGTAGTGTAGTTGGTTGAGGGGCTATGCTACAAGCTGGAAGGTTGCGGGTTCAAGTCCCGATGAGGTCATCAGATTTTTTTTTCAGTTGACCTAATCCTTCCAGCCGCACTAGGCCCTGGGGTTTACTCAGTGTCTAACAGAAATGAGTGCCAGGAATTAATTAAATAATTTTCCTGGGGAGTAAAGCACTGCCGGCGCGTAAGGCTGACAACCTTACCGCCATCTTTGAGCCGATTGTCTAGATAGTGTGGAACCCTCAACGTCTCACAGCCCTATGGGCCTTCACAGCCTGGTACAGGGATAGCTTTACGTACTTTTATGTTTTCATGCTTCTAGTTGAATTACATTTTGGTAGTCTGTGTTGTATGAAGTACATAATGTATTTTCATCTTGTATCAAATATTACATTGACAGCCCTGGTCCAGTAGCTGCAGCCCTAAGCCAATGAAATAAAATAGAAACCAACCACATGTGGTGCCAAAGATTTCAGTTTTAGTTTGTATATTGCATGTGTCACTGATTTGTATTCTAATTTATGAATGTTTGTTTCCAGAGAAAGATTTGGAGCATAAACCTATTTATATGGGCAGTGGGAGTGGATCGGAACGAAAGTTAGTGTCATCAGACTTGTTGCATAAAGGTGGAGCAAATACAAGGGGTGGGCGATCGGAGCGTGGGAACATTTCTCAGTCAAGAGGAAGTGGGGGAAATAGAGGAGGTAAAGGTAGTCGTGGAGGGAAGGGAGGTGCATCTTGGAATGGAAGTGATACGAAAGACAGAGACAGAGGAAACAGCTACTCAAACTATCATCACAGTAATGTGACACATAGAGATGACCGTGTGGACAAGGGAAGACACAATGTGACAGCTGCTGGAAGTAGTTCAGGAGCATCCTCACAACAGCAGCAGCAGCAGAAACCACCAAGATTCCAGAACCAGCAAAGATACCAGCAGCAACAACAGCAGGCCATCAATGAGAGTTCATATGGACATCAGAATTGGTCCAATTCATACAACGAATCAAATTATGGAGGTACATGGCCTGGGCGCAACTCAGCACCAGACAGTGGTGTAACAAAATCAAGGGATAATTTTGGTGCACCCAGTCATCAGGAATCTTACGGAACTGTTTCATATAGTGATAGAAATAAATCAGCAAGGCGGCAGCAGATGGGAAGTGGAGGATACAGAAATAATTTTGATTCTTCATTAGATTCGCAGACAGACCATGGTCCAGAAGGACATTACGATGGTGTCGGAAATGTTCAGCACTTCGGCCAGCAGCAGGATATTTCATTCAATTCAGTCACAAAATTCTCAAATCAGCGCAGTACAGGTTTATCAAGTGACACATTCAACAGCTATTCAAGAACACAAAATCATCAGAATAACCAAATATATGCCATGGATTTTTCATTCAAAGAAACATCTCCTAGCACCTTGAACAGTTCGCACAGCATGTCCAACATGAACTCTTCACCCTCCTATGGAAGCAGTGTCTATTCATCAAATGCGAATTATGGTGGAATGGATCCTTCAGATGGACTCCCTTCAAACCAATACATACCAGACAGCAAGTCATGGCAATGGCATAAGGGAGACAAGTGTATGGCCAAATACTGGGAAGATAATATGGTAAGTCCTGTAATTAAGAACCTGTATGCACTTTTCTCAATATGCAATAGAACCTCAATATTATGAGTATGTGTAAAATTCCTAGAAGTACTCATTATAACTGATACTTATATTATTTACTCTGCACGTTAACTGCTGCATGCTGGTTTCTTTTTGACCCTGAAGATGGTGGCGAAATAATCCTCTGAAACGTCAACTGATTTCCAACAGAATGCTTGGTCATTGTATCAGTCACTGACAGAGCTTTATAGGGACCACAATGCATAGAGACAAACTATTTTTTCCATGTATTTTATTAAGTATATGCGTTGTGACAAACACTTCAAACAGAAGTTACATATCTTAATGAAATCCCTATTTTGTATCTGACCCACTAGTACAGGAGTTTATGAACATGCGTGGGGTACCAAACAGGCAAACAGTCATCACCTGTTATTGCATATTCCATAGGAACTAAACGCAGTATTGACCTCAGTTAAAACATTATAGCTATCATCATGTATCTTCATCAGTGCAATATAGATAATAAAGATCCAGTAGAGATCACCAGAGGAGACACGTACTTGACAGTATATGGGGTCTGAGTTCTAAACTGGAACCAGTCAGCTTCCATCAGTCTGAGAGTTGTCTTGTAACTTACAAGTGTGAAGTAACTGAAGTTTGTCCTGCTTGGAGAACACTCAAGTCACGTGCCACATCTTTTGAGACTGTACCTTTATGTACTAATCCATAGATAATTCTAGGCAATAAGTCAGAAGGTGGCAACTGTAATTTTTTTTTCCAAAACATTGGATGTACTTTAAGTAGTATCAGATCTGAGAAACAGGATTAGAAAATTTGTTATATATTATTATTTAATAGTCATTATTACTATTTTCCCACTGTGTGTTGAAGGCCATATTGGTTCCTAAGTTGTTTGGTGCTTGTAGACATAGATATCCGCTTTGATATTCCTTATGTTGTGGTTTTCCAGTATTACAATGCTGAAGTGACGGGTGTTTCAGAGCGTACATGTGTAGTACGGTTTGTGGAATATGGCAACTATGAAGAAGTTCTGCAAGATGACTGCATCCCGTTTACTGAGGTGAGATATGAAGTGCTTGCTATGCTTTTAAGTTGAAGCACTGCAAAACTGCAGTCATGTCATCTATATGTGCTGAGAGTATGTCTCTGTATATTTGCAAGAAATGTGAATAAGGTAGTTTCTTTATATTAGTGCATCCAGGAACATTTTTTAACTTAAACCAGTATGATATATGTACATGATAGCTTGAAGTCATTCTGGGACAGAAACCTTATCTCAATTTTTGGCAGCAGTAATAGCCTTATAAATTTGGTTGCCTTTAAAATACTGTCCTCCAGTATGCATGTGCCATACAGTTGTTTGGAAGATTTCTGGAAGTTGTATGCAGTGTTTCAAAACATAGTCTTTGAAGACCGTAGAACTACCACTGTATACTTGAAGCCATGACCCTTTGTTTAGTTCTTGATTTATAAGGAGGTAAAAATCACAGCGCAATACTGGAAGAGGTCGGTGGGTATAAAAGCAATACCTACTATGCTTAGCAAGGTGTTGTATATGCTTGGGCCAGGATGTCATTTGAAGGTTAAAGTCTCCTAGGATGTGGCACTCTGTAGTTTGGTAAGTAGGTTTATCCAAAATGTTGGTACCTAGCTACTGAACTACATGGCATCACATGTAGTCTCCACATGTGTCACTGTGAGAACCCGAGATCTCACTCAAGATGTAATTTTTTGCCATACACAAAATCACCAGGAGTGTTCCCATTGTTGTTTTTCATAAACATGCAAAATGTTATGTTTGTCTGCTGTTCACAGGGATCCATTTCCTTACTTTGTAACATTTTATATTGTGCTGTGTGAGACAGTTACACCTGCTATGTGTTGACAGCTAAATGTTTTTCCTGGATGCAGGGAGCCTGCCTGACTCAGACTTCAGCATATCCATCATAATGTTGACTGTATCTGCTTCTGTCCGAGAACATCTTCAAACCACCACATATTTTCTTAAGCACAGTTTATGTCTATACCACAGAGTGTTGTAGGGGAAAAATAAGTAACAGCATATCCATGTGACTTATGTTCAGCAGGTGTCTTGCTCAAACCTCAGCTGATGCATGTGCCATCCTTACTGAAGAGTTTTGTACTTGTTCTATGTCCCTCTAGAGAGTGCTGGTATACAAGTAGTACCTTCAAGTTCCTGGTTTCTCCCCTATTCTTTCCAGTTCACCATGCATGTTACCACTTAACATAACTTATTATTATTATTATTATTATTATTATTTCCCTGACCAGGTCAATTACATTTTCTCTCAATGTGCGAAACGTTTGGGTCTAGTTCGTAACATTACTTACAATTCCTCTTAG